ATTAATCATGCACATTGTGTATGCTCATCCGTTATATTAGGTATGTTATTTGTTTGTTTTTTGCTCTAATCGTTTTAAGGTATATTTAGACATCTACAGATTCTCGAGATGCTCTGTGATCTAGCTTGTGATTGACATAGCAAATAATACTAGTTTTCCCTGCTTATTTTGGAAAAACTTTGATTCTGTACTGGCCTTCCTTGTTCCCGCTTCCATGATTGCCCCACCAGTACTGATTAATTACAGCAGTTACGTGCGTGGTATGCACCCAACCCCCAGTACTGCATTGAGGCAGTGTAACGTCTTTAGTAGACTCCATACCATACTTTTTTCAGACTGGCTTACGTATGACTGGTGGTGACGTTACTCACTACAGACATTGATGTGTCGACGGTAAAGAGACTAATTGTAAAATTTGCGATAATGTCCACAACTTGGTGTTGTGTCGGTTTGTCGTGACTCTAGTTGTACGTCAGGGTTCTGAGCAGCTCGTGAATACAATATTAGGCAATTGACAATGGCCGGAGGAGAATGCGTAGTCAATAATTGGTAATCGTCTTTCCTTAGTAAAAATTTACCGCTTTTCTCTAGCATTGAAAATTGATATGCTGCTCAGTAGGGCTGAAGCCGGCGTTCATGTGTCGTGATCAGGTACATACAGATATGTACCCGGTACATATAATCTGATATACAAAAAAGTGTAGGCCAGACTTATAGGCCTACTACAGAAGTGTTACCCTAACCCTAGACCGCAAGCGTAAACATAAACTCATATTATAAAAATATAACATACATATCTAAACAACGCTAAAACTACCTCGGGTACAATATCTGTAGTACTGATCGGCACAACTACCCCACTCCTGCCTCAGTAGGATGTGCGGCCACTGTGAATCGCAGGTGTAGGTAAATTGTCGAGGAAGTGTATATAGAGATGTATAATTAAAAAGCGCCGCCATTATCACTTTTATCGATGTTTCTCTCGACAGCCTGTATTATTTGTCACGTGATCCTCCAGAATTGCATGCCGTTCATGAGCGCAGACAGTTTAATCTTCACTCGCACGACGCGAAATCACTTCGCGTAATAGTGCCCTGGGAACAAATTTCATGCAGCTAACACGAATCGCGCATTAATAACCGACGTGCGAAGGCGAGTGCTAAGACTTGGGGCCGCACACCAAGGGCACGGGTCGTAGGCGGTCTTCCAACAGTCTTATAAAATGTACTTATTTTGCCAAAAATAAGAAAATAAAGGGCCGCTTTATTAGTACTTATTTTGTGTGAAATCTTAGAAAAGTACTCTTAAGGTTAATCTATTTTTTTGACGCAAACCTACAATAATTTCCATATAAATTGTTTTTATAAACTTTTTGGATATTAAGAGCTAGAATTGCATGTAATATCAATAATACGGAATAATTAAATCTGGCCTGTGGCAACTGTGTCTATAAAATTATATTAGTGTACTTTAAAGGCTAACAAATGCGCATCCAAACGCTAATTTCTCCAGTACTAGACTACACAATACTTTCGTGTCCATGCATAATGCCTACTACCTTATGAGAAATAAACATCATAGTTACCTCAAACAAACGCATTTCACTGCGCGTTGTTCTTTATAAAAGGTATTTCTGAAATACCTTCCAATGTTGTTGAAACTTCACGTATCACCTCAGCTCGGCTCAGAATTGTCCCGCATCCCAGCCCCGTTCCCCGA